TTTTTAATTATGTATTATTTTATTATTTTGTTTCTTAAAAATTGGAATCAAAATTTTAATATCCTTTACCAATAATAATAATTAAAACTAATGGATCTTTCGTAATTCTTAGTAGCTAGAATTCATAAAGATTGTGTAAACACTTCATCTATGAATTTATTCCAATTTTTCAGAAGTTACATAACGCATAAATTTAATACTAAAAACAATAAAATTAAATCCTATATTGGAAAATAATGAATTGTGAATAGCTGTGAATATTTGATACCTTTAAATGTTTGAATCTGTTTTGTGTTATGTATTTTTTTTTTAATTTTAATGTTTTTCTTGCAATATATTTTACATATGTCCAAAATTATAACAAGTTCTTAATATAAATGCTCTATGTATTTAAATATAGAAAAACTGTAACATATATACTAAAAAATATTTAAAGAATTGCTTGTCTGTTGCTTAGACAATGTTTTAAAATAATGTCTTTTACTGTGTTTTTACAAAGTTCTAAACCTATTTTCGAATAGCGGTGCTAAAAATTGTATGTGTATGTATTGCAATATATGAAATTTTAAAGGTTGATGTATTTTAGATTTTTAAAACTATTTAAGGTTTATTTTTTCTTGAAGAAATTAGTAATACTCTTGGAACCAGTTGCTGCTTTTTGTCTAGCTAATTCTTTCTTACCAATAGCAGTTTTTTGTGGCTATATGGACAAATATACATCATAAAAACAAATACAATAAAAATGCATTCAAATACATAAAGAATTTATTACCTTTTCTAATTTGGTTGAGTCAGGTATTTTTGGTTTTAATATTGATTCATTTTCAGTTGTATCTTTCTTAGACCTTTTTTCATCAGTAGTATCTTTAGGACTATTTAATTTTCGTTTCTTATTTTCAGTTTCATCTGGTAAATTTAAATGTTGTGCTAATTTTTTTGATAAATCTTCTGCAAGATATTCTGATACAATGCCATGTGCATATTTCAAATATTCTATTAAAAGGAATAAACATGTTATATATATATTGTTTAGTTTTACTATATAAAAATATTACTTTACACCTAAATACTTATTTTCAAACTTTGTAGTTTCTAGTACATTATGTTCACATCATTTCTTACCCATTTCTGAAACAGTCTCAAGCTTAGAACTTTTTACGTAAGTAGCACTAATAGCACCCTGTGATACATGGATATCCTTCTGTTTTAATACTTCAACTACTCTTTCAACTTTCTTTTGTAACCACATTAATGTTTTTTCTTCATTGAATTTATAGGCTTGCAACGATTCATTTCCTTTACGGTCAGCAATTGATGCTAGTTTTAAATTCTGACACTGAATAAGTCGAGATGTCTCTGGAAAATCTTCATCCCACAGACATTGTTCTAGTGGCTGTGCTTGTTGTGACTATGAGTATAAAATTCAAGTTTACTAGTACTTAAGATTACTAAACCTATGTATTAAAGTTAATTAAAATACAACAATGCAAGATTACCTTTCTTAAATAAGGTAATATTAAAAATATTGGATCAATAGGAGTAGATAAATGTAGTTTTCCATCAGATTTTACATTATCATCTATAAACCATGATCTTTTATTTTCATCAAATGTTAAAACTTCTTGTACTGTTAAGTTGCCTGGACTAAATACAAACATTGCAGGTTGATTTAAAGCTGGGTGTCTTAATTTAATAACGTCAGGTACACCACCATCTGTATTGTCAAAACCATCGTCTGGAACACAAGAACATTATATTAGCCTATTTTTGTTCTTTAAATATAATACACTATAATATAAATAATTGATGATATAACAGAAATTTTAAATATGAAATAATTGTTGTTTATTTGCCTTTCATTAGAAAAATCCATGTATTTGTGCTTGGATGTGAATTAGTTGTTTTGACACATTTTTTTGGTGACGCTTTGGTACGCGGCATATTTACAAGCGTTGTACACAAATGGATATTACGTTAGGTTATTTACTGCTTTTACACAATTTTCCCTGTTCATTAATGCACATACACAGAACACATTTAGGAATCTGCCATTTTACGTAAAACGACTAAATTTTAATCTCTTGTTGTTCAATAATTGGAGTGTACTACACTGCGTATCTTTTTTGATAAATAGGTACGTTAAACGCAACATGCCGCCAACGTTGTACAAAACATTTAAAATCTCGATGTGTAGTCGAACATCAGTGAATGGTCGATGATCGGAGAATCAGCAAAGAAGAGGCGTTACCGCGCTAATGGGTCACCTTTAAAAAAAGAAAAAAGTATCAAAATCATACTTTTGTGCAAAAAAGTTAAATTACAACACATTTAATTTCTGTACATATAAATTCGTACACGTAATTTGTGTACTTAATTTTATATAATAAACATTAATATTTACATAAATAACAAAAAAATTGATTTTAAACGATATTCTTTCATACTTGCATACATTTCATGTAAATAGGTCTATAAAAAATTTTCAACATTTTTCATATTGTTATTTATATATGTATATCCCATTTATAATAATTACATCGACTAAATTCATTTTTATTTAAATCTTTTCAGTATTAATTTCCATGTGCAATCAGATTAACAATATTGATATTCATAGAATAGGTATTGTATAAAAGTGATAAAATTGAACATTATAAATTTATAATTTTGCAAAGAAAAGAATAGTATGTATATAAGAACAAAATCTAATTGTAAAAGGAAACGAGCAAATATATTAAAATAATTTTAACTGTTTCTTTATTTTCTCTCTAAATGTTTCATATGAACATCTGATAAGATATGTCACAGAAATTATGAAAGAAGAATAACTTTTTAAAAATGGGTCACAAGAAATGCCTACGTAAATTTAATATACGCAACTGAGATTATTGCACTACTATGTTTATACACAGAATATTAGAAAGTAATATTAACTTTAAAAATAGATGTATAATAAAGTATAGATATGAGTAAACATGCGAAAGAACGTATAGGACATATCAATGGATGACATTCTTGGAATTTTAAATTTGTAAAGATGAGTAAGTGGATACAAGAATATACATTTAATATGTATGTATTATGATGTCATTGAAAGCTTTGTAACCTTTTTTCGCTTACTCATTACTCACTCTCTCATCAGTAAGTACCTTGAAAAAACTACGGATGACGTGATGCGAAAGTGGGTGTGACTACCATTGGATAGCCGGCTATCAAACGTGAAGGTTCTCTTCAATTTTACCTTTCAAAAGCAGTGTTGTTATCAATCTTGTTGCAAGTACGTTTCATTTAGTATAAATGAAAGCAAATTAACGTAAAGGAGATTATCATCCATTATACAGTGATGCTTTACGGCTCATTAATTGGTTAACAATTATTTTTATTTGTTCCAGGCCGTTTCTTATATAGACAAAAATGTCTCAACAACAATATTATCCATTTAAAGTAAGTATATTTTAATTATTGGCTTCAATTTTAACGGAATTCCTTTTTTTTACGTGACTACTAATTAGATTGACCTATTTCTGGTATGGGTATTGATCAGTCGTATTTTTAACACTTTCTCGTTCGAATAAATCAATGAGCATTCAATTTATTTACGATTATAATTACGTATTATGGTTATCAACGATTGTAATTAAAATAGTTACATCCAAAAAAGTTACAATTTAGAAATAAATAAATTTTGTATTTATTGCGCATAACGAATTATAGTATATTTTCTTGTATAAATTAATTGTACTGCAATTTTTTCAGTATTTCTAAAGAAAATTCTGTATATCAGTGAACAATATGTTATTTTGATTTTAATACATATGAATTATGTTCAGATGATTTAAACAAAAAATAGTTATTGCTTTTACTAAAGTTATATAATATATAGTAATATACAAAATTTATGCTTTATATTACAGTGTACTCCTACAGTATATCCCGCTGAACCATTTGATGCAAATGCAGATGCTGCAATGTTGCGTAAAGCTATGAAAGGTTTTGGTACAGATGAGAAAACTATTATTGATGTGCTTACAAGAAGAGGAATTGTTCAAAGATTAGAAGTTGCTGAAGCATATAAAACTTTGTATGGAAAAGATTTAGTTAGTGACTTGAAAAGTGAACTAACAGGAAAATTAGAAGATGTTATAATTGCTCTTATGACACCATTACCTCATTATTATGCTAAAGAATTACACGATGCAATCAGTGGATTAGGAACTGATGAAGAAGCAATTGTAGAAATTTTATGTACTTTAAGTAACTATGGTATACGTACAATTGCAGCATTTTATGAAAATTGTAAGTGCAGTAATTAATACATGTTTATGTATTTCAAATATTTAATTTCTATTTTGTTAAGCATAATTTATGCTTTAAAAGTAAAATAGTATGAAATATGTTCACTAATGCTATTAGTATATTTTGTTTCTAATAGTATATGGAAAAACTCTTGAGAGTGACTTAAAGGGAGATACTTCAGGACATTTTAAGAGATTGTTAGTTTCTCTTGTTCAAGCAAACAGGGATGAAAATCAAGGAATAGATCAAGCTCAAGCTGCAGCAGATGCTCAAGCACTTCATGAAGCTGGTATGTACAATGAAAATGTACATGTATTTAAGTTAAATACTTACACATAATTTGAAGAAGGTAATATATTTATTTAAAACATAATTACTTATTTTACCATAGGTGAGAAACAGTGGGGTACAGATGAATCTCAATTCAATGCTATTTTAGTAACACGCAGTTATCAACAATTAAGACAGACTTTTATTGAATATGAAAAAATATCTGGACATGACATTGAAGTTGCTATTAAAAAAGAGTTTTCTGGAAGTCTTGAAAAAGGTCTTCTTGGAATAGGTCAGTATCTTTTTAACAATAATCAATGTAAAGATATCGCGAATAATAATGGCTATGAAGTGAAATGAAAAATGCTTATAGTTTGTCTTATAAAAATTCTGTTTCAGATAAATTAATATACATATTGTATCTTTTATTTTTACAGTTAAATGTGTGAAATCAAAAGTTGGTTTCTTTGCTGAACGATTGTATGCTAGTATGCATGGTATTGGTACAAAAGATCGAACATTGATTCGCATTATTGTTTCTCGAAGTGAGATCGATTTGGGAGATATTAAAAAAGCTTTTGAAGAACGATATGGAAAATCCTTAGAAAGCTGGATCGCTGTATGTAGTCATGTTGCTGTTTTTAGAATATTTCGTGATACGATATCATTTAGTAGAGTAGTGATATGATATTGAAATGTATTTCTGATGTTGTGCATATGCAATTTTCTTGAATATAATTATCACATTATGACATATTATTTTTTACATTTTAGGGTGATACATCGGGGGATTACAAGAAAGCATTACTCTCACTTGTTTATACTTAAGTAAAACGAAATGTTTTATGATACAATTTAACATAATTTTGTAGCACAAATACACGACGAGTGTTTCTTTGGTATTCTGAAGTAACTTGCTTGCTTGAAGTGCTTACGCCAATTTTTTTATTATTCAAGTATATATGGGTATAAAGGATTGTCTATTTTAGAATCTCGATTTTGAAATCTCTAAAAAATTACAGCGGTGC